AAGGGACAGCGAGGGATAGAGAAAGAGTTCAGAGATGCGCAGCAAACAAGTGAGCGACGGGAAGCAACATGACAGCGACGCTTCGCAGACGAGCGCTCCTCCGAGGAAAGGGCGCGGAAAAGAAGGGACGACACTTGCGCCCCCTGCGTTGCAGGGAATTCGGACGAGAGAGGCGCGGAGTGCTTCGCTGGCGAAATGGAAAAGGGTAAACTTTGTCGAGGCAAGAAGAAAAAAAAATGCAATTCTGCCCTCTTTTTGGCATTATATATTCTCTTTGCGCTGCCGAAGGAGAATAAAAGTGGGCAGCTCGGCTGTGACGCCATTTCAACATAGAAAGTAAAGTACTTTTTGTTGTTTGGATTTCATTTTTATTGGACGGGAACCCGAACGGTTTTCTGCTGTGTGTAGATTATTCGCTTCTGTAGACAGTTTTTAAATCAAATGTGTGTGTGTGTGTGTGTGTGTGTGTGTGTGTGTGTGTGCGTGTGCGTGTGCGTGTGTGTGTGTGTGTGTGTGTGTGTGTGTGTGTCTTGTGGACTCCTTGCAAAGAAAATTCCGTATCGTTGTAAAAAAAATCTATTGGGCGAATTTTAAGTGCCTTGGAACGCTTCCCACAAATACATTATAACAGATGACACTTTTGTACATATGGATGGATAGTCGCGCTTATTTATATTTTCATCGTGTTTTTATTTCTCTATCTCTGTTTATTACTAAAATATTTCATATAAAAGAATGACCTCACATGTAGACAGTGGGGGTGTATGTATTTCCTTCGTAAGTTTTTTTTATCGGGTCAATCTCTCGTGTTTTCTGCAGCTAGGCAGATTACAATTCCTCAGATGAAATCTCTTTTGCCTAAAGTTACTTCCTATTTTCGCTGTTGTTCAAACTGGGTTTCTTAAACCACTATGTTACAATCCAGTACTTGACACAACCTCCGGAAAAATGATTGGTAGAAAGAAACGAAACCAAATATATATATATATACGAAATATACGAAACCAAATATATAAAACCAACCCCTTCCCAAGAGATCTCAGATAAAAAGGAAGCTCAATTTCTGTCGTGTCTGACATCCACGCTGTAAACAACCGAACAACGATCGACTTCTCTAGCACCGCCGTAAACGTGGTTTACCACCAAACCGCGTCCCTAGTTCGGTCATATACCTCCAGAACGTTCGCGGCGTTTCGATGCTTCTTCCATCGCAGCGTGTCTCCGGTCTTCTTATCGAGCCTACCCTTTTTGTGGCCGACAACACGCCCATAATGGCGCATCATCAAACTGCCTTGCGTAGAAGTGGACCCCGAGTGAACCGTAACCAGCCGACCGTACGCACGGTTTCCCGTCACCGTCGACGATACCACCGCCGCCACTCGTTAACCACGTCTTCTTAGCCAGCCGACCGAAAGCGATTAGCGATATTGCTCCCCTCAACGACGTCCTTGTCCCTTCGGCAAGCACCGTCTCTTCTCGGCCTGTAAAAAACCAACACGTAGACCCCAAAAGGGGGAAAATAGTGTCTCCTCCTGGGAGAAGCCGCATCAACTAAAACTAAGCGAAGCGCCAGAGTGTCACAATCTGCCGACGTGCTCCGCACACACCCTCTCTCTCTCTCTCTCTCTCTCTCTTGACGGTCATCGAGTCCACAAGAGCAGCGACTTGTCGGCTCCCGTCAAAGGGAGAACAAAAACCGGGAAGTCTGCTATTGTGGGATGGGGCTCGGTGGTTCTTCCAATCATCGCGAAAGGTTCCTTCCCACTCCGTCCTTTGTTGCCTCCTTCCTTCGGCGAAAGACCCCCTTCTATACTGCGAAGTCGGAAGCGAAGACAGCCATGCACATGCACACAAAAAGGTCCGTTGGAAGTAGCGGCACCACGAAAACAGGAGCAAAAGAGAGAGGAGCTGCCTTGACAGCTAGATGTACGGGCTGGAAGAAAAAGAAGAAAGCGACCGGAGCGCCATCTCAAGGCCCCGTGGGGCTATCATGCTCTCCCAAGCAACCTTTTTTTTTTCTTTTTTTTTGTAGATGGCGCTGTGCTACGCGCTGCCGCCTTCCCTAACATACCTACGCTGTGACGGGCACAGCTTTCAAGAATGATCGATTTTAGACCGCGATTTCGACGTTGTATAGGGCTCTTCGTTCTTGGTAAAATTACTACCCTCCGTCGGCGGAGAACGGTATCTCCTCTCGGGCTGCGAAAATAGGATCTCGTGCGGTCCCCGAAAACTGTCGTTTGCGATCAACACAAATCTTATTTTATCTACGTTCGCAGCTTGGTGCGGAAAAGCTTTTTTTTTTTTGTATTCTTTCTTTTAAACGTCAAAAAATGACCCCATTCTCATTCCCCGAAATTAATTATTGGATTTCTTGATTCGGCGCGATTTTGAAGGCAGATAAGAGGGACGAGAAATGAGGTCTAAAACGCGGAGAGTGCAGGCGGTTCAAATAGCCGAGATAGCACCGACAGGATTTTGTTCCCCTTATCGTGGCTTTAAAATAGAAAACTCGCTTTTGGAATAGTCGATGAGGATGCTAAAAAGCATATATACTTTCTACAGTTTTTTTTTTTTTTAGAGAGAGCCGTGAAGAGATAAAAGGCGAGCCGATTATCCTTAACGACGGTTCTCCCTTACGGGCAAAGCTCCCCATTTTTGCACGCCACCGTCTTTCCCGCATCATACTCCAGAAGAGGGACCCTCTTTTCTGACGACAGACAATTTTTCTTTTTTTTTTTTTGCTTTTTGTTTGGAGAATCATTGAATTTTTTCCCGTCTTTTGCGGCGCACGAAATGTGACCAGCTGAACCATCTTATATTTTTATAGGAGTTGAATCTGTCTTAAATAACCGCGAACTGCACAAATTATTCAACAGATGTGATTTTATGCGGCCTAGATTTGATGTCTAAATTTTCGAACTATCCCGGGTGAAAACTCTGAAGTATGTTAACGACTAAACAAGGTCGAATCTAATTCAAAATTTCGGGAAAAGAGGTATGCTTTCGACTTGAGTATAAAATGCTTTCTCAGCTTAATTTCAAATTACATTCTTCGTGAGGTAACTTGGATGAGATATTCGATTTTTTCGATTAAACAATTATATCGGAGACCATTGTGCATGTTCGCTGCCAGTCAAAAATCAATAAACAACTAAAGTTAAAAGAATTCACTAAAGGCTTGTTCCGCAGCGGCACGTGGCGTAAGGCGAGTGATGTGAGATGTGGCAGAGATCGATGGCCGAAGGGATCCCGTCATGCAACGAGCGCAGTGTTGCATGCAGGGATTGGGTTGTCACCTCTGACGATGTTGGTTTAAGAGTGCGATGACTTCATGTTTCCATTGTTATCTTTACACATACTATCGAACTCGTAGCTCGAAACAGATGATATGTAGTCAAAGATAGCAACTTATGACGTCACGGCGAGGAAAATGCTGGTCGTGACATCACGAACGGAAACCATAAGAGGGCTGAGTAGGTACTCTGTTTCTAGCGTAAGCTTTCTGCCTCTAGTACGACTTTGGCGCACGCGCAGTAAAATGCCGACAAAATGCATCGGGCGCGTGCTGGAGGCAGAGCTTCTGCATCCTGCCCCTGAGTATACGTATTTCCAGCACTTATCATCCTGGTAAAAATAATGCCAATCCACTGTACTGTAGACTCATGTGCGACGTCTGATATTCCTTAGAAGAGAGCTAGTGCGCATTCTCATAACGCGTCTTACGGCACAGCAGACAAAGATGGAAGCATACTAGAAGGCGATTGCTGCAATGGTCTTTTCGCAACTCTCAGTGATGGTGATGCCGCAGTGAAAACATTGCGCTCCCTAGTTCGTGGACAATCGGCCTCACAATGAAGATGTCTCCGCACACCCTAATTCTTGATATCACAACAATAACGTAAGGCCCTAATACCGCCCATATTTGGTAAAATTATGATTGCTGAGGTGTCAGTTACCTAACCTCGTGCTGCTATTCACGTCGATCATCCATATTACAGCCATTTTGATAGGCGCCACTGCGCCCCTATCAGGGAGGAAATACTACAGTCGCGCCCTTTGTGGTAAAGTTAAAAATGAAAGCTAAAGCTGTAGCACGGTCGCGCAATGCGGGTGGAATGGTGCCTTCACGTATTCGAGGACGGAGGTGCGACATGGGAAATTATCATAGCCGTTGTGTTTGGTGCCATGGATGCCACTGACGACCGCCACGGGGACTCGGTGATCCGTAAAGTAAGTGGGTAAGCGCGGTGCAAGTTTCTAAAACTATCCAACAACACGCGTAGCAACTGGATACTGCCAAGGTGGGATTTCGTGGAATGCAAGGAATGCTTGAAAACAAGTGTTTGAAGCAGACGACAGAAAGGCTCTCTCTTCGTCGTGTCGTTACTGGCGGGAGGGACGCCGAAGCTCCCCTCTCTGCTGGGTCCGCGCTTCGCGGCCGACTGGAAAACCGGACCTCCCTCTCCTCGCGCCAAGAGGGAAGAAGGGGTTTTCCCATAGCGGAGACGAGGACCCGCAAGCTCAAAATTTCCGCAAAGAGTCTCCCGTAAAGCTATCGCTTTAATATCGCTTTAAAACTAAACCCACGGGGACTACAACATGCATCATTTGCTCGTGTTTCTGACACAGCGTTCAGCTGACGTAGCCGAACACTCCGTCAGCGTTCGACTGAGGTTCAAGTTCGGCCAGTGAAGCACTAATTGAACACATGTCTCATTCAAACATGGACGCAGAACTTTCGACCAATGATTGTCCCCGCTCATTCAGTTGAGTAAGATGACGTAGAGAAATTGGTCCACAGGCGTTGTGCTGGGCAAATACCCAGCTCTGTAAGAAACAACCCGAATAAATGCGCACCCTTGCCAAGGACAACCCGATATCTTTGCCAATACGTCACGAACGTTCCGAATAGATTAGTCATACAGTGCTGAAGAGGTGTCCTTTCGGCCCGTGCCCCGCAGGCGTCGTCGAGGTCCGGCGTCCGAGCCCGGGCTCCCATGGGCGATCGGCGCGTGTGCCTGGTGGCCGGGGAACCGCTCTCGCCGGGGGACAGCCTGGGGCCCGTGCCGGCCCTGGGACTCGGAGGAGTCGACCCTCTGGCCGCGCTCGCCTGGAGGTGCACCGATGACCCGGCGCCCACCTCCCAGTCCACCGTCAAGGTAGGAGACAACGGGACAACGCGTGCGTCTCGGAGCATGCCTTTGTGGTTTCTATTAAAACGGGACATGCTTTCTTACTTCATACTCACTGACAGGGTAAAACGGCCAGGGCGACTCTTTGAGACGCCCAGCCCCCACCCAGCAAGGGCGCGTTGTTTACCGTCCTCGGCGTGCGCACGCTCCAAGTGCACGATACGTTCAAGCTTTATTAAAGGTCAGAAGCTCAGGCTGAACCACGATGTAAGATATACTATTTAGGCGAGGTTTCTGCCCGACGCGGAGCGACCAGATAGTGTCCTCTCACGAGTGCAGGCCCGTGCCTAACAGCCCTCGGCGAACTAGCGTCGCTCGCAGGCGAAACGACGCAACTATAAAAAAAAAAAGAAAACATAAATAAAATATCTCGTTGCCATGGTATCAGTCGAGCACGAGCCCCTTGCTCAAGGATGTGTGACGGCTGCACGAGAGATGCCATGGCAACTAGATGTTGCATTTACGTTTTTTTTTTTTCGCAGTTGCGTAGTTTCGCCACCGAGCGACGCTAGTTCGCCGCTGGCTGTTCGGGGCGCGCATGCGCTCGTGAGAAGACTTTAACTTTATCTAGTCGGTCGCGTCTGATTGTTTCTCGCGCCAATGTCCACACCGAAAGAGTATACAGGGTGTCACAAATGAAAATTTACACGGTCTTTTTTGCCGCAAAAATAAAGTAGGCATCCCCGAACGCTCATTTTCCGCCCAAAGGTAGAGCTAGAGGTCACAACCAGATGCCAAAGTTTCAGCCCGATCCGATACCTTAATCAAAAGTTATAAATAATTTTCTGAAAATTTCAATGGGAAAATGGAGCCCATTTTTGCCCGTTTTCGGTTTCTGCTGCCATAGAGCCCCATGTGTTTGAAAACTCCGTCGGCCGCCATTTTCCCATTGGAATTTTCAGAAAATTATTTATAACTTTTGATTAAGTTATTGTATCGGGTTGAAACTTTGGCATCTGGTTGTGACCTCTAGCTCTACCTTTGGGCGGAGAATGAGCGTTCGGCGATGCTTAGTTTCTTTTTGCGGTAAAAAAGACCGTGTAAATTTTCTTTTGTGACACCCTGTATATCTTACACCGTTCGCTGAACTCAAGGGGGGACATCTGGAGGAGCCTCCTGACGTTCTCATTTTGTAAGCGACTATGGTGACCTCAGCCTCGGCGTAAAAAACATACACATTTAAAAGCGGTTTTAGAGCGCAGCTCTTAGGCGCCTGTTTCCGGCCTGAGCGGCGTCGGCGTCGCCGTCGACGTAACGCCTTTTCGCGACGTGTCGCCGTCGGCGTAGCCGTAACGCGTCGGCGTGAAGTATCGCCGTCGGCGTAACCGCGTGGTGCATTATGGGAAACGTGCCACAATGCACCGCGGTGACGCGCGCGTAGCATTATGGGACGTTTTGCATAATGCACCGCGCGGGAGGGAGGAGGGGGAGGAAGATGGAGGAGGAGGATAAAGAGAGAGGAGGAAGAGGGAGGACCAGGAGGAGGGAGGAGAAAGAGAAAAGGGGGAAGAGACGAGGAGCGGGGAAGAAGTAGATGAGGAGGAAGGAGGAGAGGCATACCGTCCCCTCCGTACCCTCCCCTCCTTCTCCTCAAGAGCTGCGCTCTAATTCGGCATTGAAGGAAGTTGTAAGCGTCGTTCACTTTTTATAACGGCAACTTCTATAGAGTCGGCAAGCGGCAAAGTTGATTTCGCGTCTCCATAATTCGTTTCACCTAAGTCCAGACGCAGCAGATTCAACGAGCTAGTGGGACAAATCAGACAGCGTCAAAAGGGCACCATCATGGTGTTCGTCGTGTTTATGTCCGTGCTCTATCATCGCTGAATTAAGCATAAACAGAAAAGATCAAGTGACTTGCGTTTTTGACGCTGCTTGGTTAATACCATTTAGTATAGTCCAGCTGCGTCGTGACCTTTTGTCAGGGCCACGCTTTGGAGTCCCATGTGAGCACGTCTCTCGCTCGTCGTTAAGGCGTGCGACGTCAATCACGAAAGCATTTCATGTTTACGACCTAACTTGGTTCCCGAAAAGGGCCGTGAGTTTTGGGAAATACATTCCACGAATAAGTAACTTAAACTGAAATATCCAGTGTTCAGTTATCAATGCTAGACTGCCGTTTCTAGAGACTGGAGGCAAGCGGACGTAAAGAGCTCTCGCGCGCTTTGCGTGTTCATGCCTGTGACTATTAAAAGGTTTGTATCATGTTTTGTTTTTCTTTTTTTACGGTGCATTATGTGATACTAATTACAGCTTTATCAGTGAGGATGTATTATACCTGGTTGACGTTGACATCACGTCGGCGGACATAGTGGGCCTTGCCACTGAACACGAATAACTGCTGCAGACTCAAATTTAGTTTTGGGCAAGAACGAGAAGGAATGACCATGGTGGACGACGTAACCCGGAAGTCATGTATAGCGTTCAGTCAGGATCACCAGTCGTCACTACCTCTTGACGTGTTACCTAACAGAGAGCGATCTGCTTCCGTCCAATCCCCCACAGAGCAACGCAGCATGCCAGGGTCACGCCTGTCACCAAGAGCTGAGAGCTTTAGTGAGCCTACCAAACGGTTCTAGTCACTCGCGGTTGGAGAATTCCAAGTTTCAGCGAGTGTACGAACAACGCGTGATAACACTAAAAAGCCTTTGAATCGCATGTGGCAATGCACGATGCGCATTGCAGCACACGCGAAAGCACGACGCGTATTGACGCGCATTGACGCGCATTGACGCGCATTGACGTGCATTGACGCGCATTGACGCTAGCACGACATGCAAGCACGACGCGCGTTGACGCACACGCATGCACGAACTTCTTGGTTAGATTATGGCGGCCATGTTTTTTTCAGGAGTACCTCGCCTACACTATCGTCTCATACAGCGAATCAACATTGACATTCAATCGGGTTTTTGGTTTTGTACAAAAACTGGTGTCTGGTATGCGCTCGTAATCTCCGTGGACATGGTGCTCATTGCTGTATATATATCCGTTAGTCTATTTATATTATTTTTACAAGAAACCACCCACAACAGACACTAAATAAACCAACACTGAACTGTGCATCAATTGAACTTCAACAGACCGCGTGGAAAGAACTAAATCAGAGTCGTGTCTGCTGCGTTATCATCCAGACTTTCCTTCGTCAAACTTGGTAAGCTAGCCGTGTCGCGCATTAGGTAAACTTCCCACGATATCCCACCTATGCATGATTGTCCGAGCTCTCATCGAGCAACGATATAGCCAAGAAAACAGACAAAGGCGTTTTCCAACAATGTTTGCCATCAGTGCTCTCAAACAGAAATACATTTCTGTAAAAAAATAAAATGCAGGCAAAGTTTATTAAGTTGCCAAACCGGCAGAAGTGCATCCTTGGTTTCAAGGAAGAGTTACTAGATTACAGTGTTGGGAAGTATTTTAACTAAATTTTACTTAAAATACTACCCCAAGTAGGTTTCGAAAACATACTTTACTTGATGTATATTCTCTAGGTGTGTGCGGTTTAATTAAAATATTTCTTTCGTGCTTTCCAAAGAAAGTACAACGCCCAACCTCAGGGTGTATTCCCCGAATTTCGTTTCGATGAAAATGAGCTCTTTCAAGGACCACACCTGACGTCCTTAGCTTTACTAGTACTAAACAACACTTCTGAGTCCAAAAATAAGTGCTCACTAAACTCTAGTGAAAACAATGGCCTATCGTTATGTGAAAACGCGATATCGTCCTTTAAGAAGCCATTTGATCATGTCTCTGAGTGAAACAATGGCGGCTATAAGACCGATACAAATAAGTGTTATATGAATTGATTGTTGAATAGTTCGTCAGTGAGAGTCAAACAACTACTCTACGGCCACTTGACTTTATCCAATATTCGTTGTCATTTCCGAAAACAACCGATGCACGCCTGATTACCCCTCGGCAACGCATATAAGCATAAAAAAAAAAAAAAACGGCATAAGGCAGGGGTCGGCAACCGGCAGCCCGCGGGCCGGAGCCGGCCCACGAGGTCAGATGGTACGGCCCCTAGCACGCTACCAGAAAGCTCCCCCCCCCCCCCCCCCCCCACACACACACACACACGTACTTTTAAGGACTAATGGAGAAAGAAATATAGTTGGGTGCAAACCTCGTACTCGGACGTATTAATTCTGCAAGAGCACACCAGGGAGTTAGTTTTCAATGCACGGTATATGTATGTATCATCTATCCGCAGTTGTTGTGCACCAAGGTGAATCATTGAGAATCAATAATTAAGATCATCCTGTCCAGCATAAACTGTTCGGAATTACGGCTTTGTACCGTTGCCAATTCGAACAGTTTCTATCACACACGGAGGCTTAGTATGTAAATTCTGGCCAAGCGACTGGTCAGATTTTAGCATAAACCGTGCGCGCCACCATTACAGAAAGCAGTTGGACTGACGGCGTTTAGTGTGTCTGGATTTTTGGATATTGGAATAAGAGCTGTGTAACCTTGAAAATTATGGAGGCGGAAGCTGGGCCCCGAGAGACTCGCAAGATGCAGCGTGCCGCACAGGGCAAGGCTGTGCGTCATATCGTTCATGTTCAGAAAGTGATCACCGCCCACCCCCCCCCCCCCCCCCCGGGCCCCGGTTTCCTATGCCACCCGCTCCGCCCCCGTTTCGCGGCAGTTTGGCCCACTGCAGCGAAAAGGTGGCCGACCCCTGGTATAAGGGAATGAAAGGGAATTATTAAAGAATGTGTGAAAAAGTAAACTTGTACTTTACTTTGAAAGTGCACTGTATTCATACCGTAGCATTATACTTCAAGCACATTGCTCCCGGTCTACTTACTACTTTAATTGAAGTACATAACCTCTCATCTGCTTTGCACTTTGCTTCAAACTCTTTTTAGATGTGCTGTACTTTACCCAACACTGCTAGATCAGCAGTAATCAATGGCGAGTGAGCAAGCGCCGCTGCGCATAAGACCGTGTCATCTGACGCAAAC